CTGCTACTGACTGGCGGCCAGCACAGGAGACGAGGACCTCAGAGACCAGGAGGGGACCCGTCTTCTAATCACCCCCAGCACCCTGGGGACTGAGCACCTCGGGTGAGCGCTCCAGGGCCACTTAGCCTCGGAGCAGGCAGCCCTGGTTGTATCAAGGGGACCAGAAGGTCAGCAGTCACCTGCCCTCTCTCACAAGCCACGGCCACAGCAGTCGGGACGTCCAGGCTCTCTCCGGGTGTGGCCGCTGCTCTCCCCGTCTCGAGCAGAGGTCCTGATCTGAGCAAGAAGAAAGGTCTGACTCCCAAGCCTTCATCTGCTGCGTGGCCTTGGGTGGCCTCTCTGACTTCCTCTCCGTAAAACACGTCTCTTGCCTGCACGCCTGTCCTCCTAGCCGCTCGGGAGGCCAGGAAGATGGCAAGTTCAAGGCCAGCCTGGGCAACTTTGTGAGACCCTGTACCAAAATAAAAAAATAAAAAGGGTTGGGGACGGAGCTCAGGGGTAGAGCACCCCTGGGTTCAATCCCTAATGGCACAAAACAAAACCAAACCCCCACAGACACACACTCTGTGTCTCAGGCTCCCTAACCATCCCTACCACATTTGAAAGTGGAAGTGAACTGGTGGGTCTCCTATCCCAATGCCTGACACAAAGTATCCCTCCTGTTAAAGAACAGGAGGGATAAAGAACAGAGAAGCAAAGTAACTTGCCCAAACACACACAGCTAAAGATCGAAGGAGCCCGACTTTCCACCTGGGTCTCTCTAACTTCAAAACCTGAGCTTCTACCCAAGTAAGCACTCCACCAATGGTGGCTCTTCCTACGCACTATTTGCTGTAAGTGGAAAAAGCAAATGGATAATGCAGATGGAGGGCAGCCGTCTCCTTCTGAGCAGGGTCTCCCCTTGGTATTCCCAGGGAGCTACTTTCTGGAAAGCCCAGCCACGGAGCCCCAGGGGGAAGCTGCACCCCTTCCAGCAGTGTGTGTGTGTGTGTGTGTGTGTGTGTGTGTGTGTGAACACTCCCTCCAGCTCTGAGCATTCCTGGGGGCGAAGGAGGAGGGGCAGGCCCTGGAGGTCCAGGTCCTGCAGCCAGGCCCTGAAGGTCAGGACCACATCCTTTCAACCTGGAGAGGCTGTTCCTTGGATCTGTCAATTTATTTCTGTGAAAGTCATTGCAAAGATAAACAATCTTAATCACTCTCAGTTGTACATTTAATGAGCTGTCATTTTTTTTTTTTTTTGGAAATGATTGCAAATTACACAGAAAAGGAGACAATTCAGAAAAAACAAAAACAGAGAGGAACACCAGGAGGCCATGATTAAACATTGGAAATGCAGCCTCCTCGGAAGAGCTGGGCTGCAAGGTCACCCGGGCTGGGGTGGGGGAGCTTCTACGGTGTCTAGCGTCATCTGGCGAGCCGGCCACACGTCACGCTTACAGAGCATTCTCCACGTTCCCGAGCTTTCCGCAGGTTCAAGTCGCTCAGCGCCTGAGGAACCACTAAGATGCCCGTTTTAGCCAGGCGTCGTGGTGCAGCCTGCGATCCCGCAACTCAGGAGGCTGAGGCAGGAGGATCGCGAGTTCAAAGCCGGCCTCAGCAACTTAGCGAGGCCCTGAGCAACTCAGGGAGACCCTGTCTCTAAATAAAATACAGAATACGGCTGGGGAGGTGGCTCAGTGGTTGAGCACCCTGAGTTCAATTCCTACCACCTGTCCCCAAAACAAAACAGATGCCCATTTTAGACAGCCCCAGAGCGTTGAAATGAGAGGCTCCAGGTAGGAAGCAGTAGGTGATGCCCCTCCCAGCAGAGAAGGAGGGGAGCCGGGCCCTGGGGAGCCCCCAGCTCAATCCCCCCAGTCATAGATGTCATCCTTTCTAGTGGTTCCGAACACCTTTTAAATGGAAGACATGCTCTCCTTGAGGTCCTAAGTGCGACACCGTGGTACAGACCCGTGGCCAAGGCCACCTGCTCCTGCTGGAGCTGGGGAGGTGTCCTTTCCCTCCCTCGGTCCTTAGGGCCCGAGAGCCCGTCCATGACCACCCTTCTTGTCCAAATGCCATGGAGGGCTGAGGCCCAGCAGGTAAGGGAATCACCGGGATGAGCAGGACCGGAACCCGGGCTGTGGTCTTCTGGCCCGGGGCTCTTTTCTCCATGTCCCAGGAGACGTGCCCCAACACGCACACCAGGTGTGCTGTGCCCAGGAGCTGGGCCAAGGTAGGGCCTTCAGGCCAACTGAGCGGTTGGTGTGTGCGCCTGACTCTCTCCCCAGGTTCTGGAGAAAAATAGAGTCTAAGAGCTTCCTGAAGGAGACGTATTTTCAAAAGAACCATCTCTACTGCACCCACACTTCAAGGCCGCGGGAAGGCCTGGCCTCAGCCCCCAGCCACGGCTTCCAGGGGCGATTCTTCCCCAGCTTCCCCGCGGGAACAATGAATTCTCGGCAGGTCCCTCCTGGAGCAGGAAAATGGGGCGTAGAGGCTTCTGGACCAGGTCACTTCTGGGTACATGTCAACCAGCTGCTCAGAGGGGGCCTTCTGCCTCCTCCTCTCCCTGCCCATGATTGCCAGCCCACTCCCAGCCCAGCCTTCTCTCTCTCCCCCCTCTGCACCGGCAACTTCTCCTTCTTTCTCAGTTTCCCGACAAGCCGGGCCCCAGAGCCCTGTCTTGATTTCATCAAAGAAGAGTCCAAGGCACTCGGCCATTTGCCTACGCCCCCACTTCACAGAGGAGGCCAGAGAAGGGTGAAGCCTCCCCAAGAATATCTTGGGAGTGCTGTGCTCTGCCAGAGTGGCTTTATCTCCTGCAGGACCACACTCTCCGGGTTCCTAACTTTTGAAAAAAAAACAAAACAAAACCTTTTTTTGGCTTCATCTACAGAAGTTGGTGTTTCCCAGTTGAGGGACCTCACAAGGCTATGGCTGCCAGGCTTCCTCGCCTTCGGGTCCTCGCTAATCGTCCATTTCAACAGAGAGTAGGGCCCAAGCCCACCGCCCTCCCAGTGGGAATCCTTTTTAATGGTGGTTAAGGATACACTGTTGGAATTTAATGGTACTGTTTTACTTTCATTGTATTTATTTTTACGTTTCTTTCTATTTATAGTAATGGGATGCTGGTTTCCCATTTATGGTAATGATATAAGATATCTTTTTTAAAACCAGCTTCTTTAACTAAAACAAAAAATAAAATCAGGGTTGATTTAAAGACCACTATTAAGCAGAGGCCTCAGGGGTGCACAGAGAGGGCCCAGTTCTCCGTGGAGGCAGGAGAGGACGGAGGCCTGGGAATATTGAACTGGACTCACCTCCAGCTGGGCAGGTGGGCTGCTCCACCCTCCTTCCTCGCTCTCCCCACCTGGTCTTGGAGCCCAGGCCCTTGGGGCTCCTTCCGGCCTCCCTCTGATGTTTCTGGCCTCTACCTCCCAAGTACCAGCTCCCTTGCTCAGGTCGACTTTTTTTTCCTCCTGAAGTGTCCACGGGGCCTCCCAGAGCCTCCCTCAGCAGCAGTCGGAAGGCCAGCCTCTCCCCTTCCCCTGTTTGGGCAGCTGGAGGAGTGAACGGAGACCTCTTGTCTCATCCTTGCTTCTGCAGAAATCCCACTGTGAGATTTTCTCCTCTAGGTGAGGCCGTCCTCACACTGGTCCCTTGAAGAACTGGGAATGGGGGCTTTTTCTCCCGTCTCCATGGTCCACTCTAGACACTCCGCCCCAATTCAGCTTTCTCTGTGATCCAGTGTGTAGTGGTCACCAGGACCAGCTGTCCCTTAACTCCTTGGAGGAGCATACCTATTTCCTGGAGTGTGGACAAGGAGAGGCAGCAACTTCCTGCTCCTCAAAACCTCTGTCCCACGGCTGACACCACCAAACATTCACAGCCAAGACAGGAGTGGCTTCGATTCCTATCTGTCACTCACTCCTTAGTGAGAATCAGTTAGCCATGGCCTTCCTGCAGTGTGTGCGTCTGTGCGTGTGCGTGTGTGCGTGTGTGTGTGTGTGTCTGTCTGTCTCTCCAGGGTTCACCCACAGGGACCCTTCAGAGCTTCAGAACTGTGTGGCCAAGGGAAGAACACGGTGCAATCCGAGCCTCTCTTCTAGGCAATTACGAGCCCTCTCTCTGTGCTGCCTGCTTTGATCCTCTGGCTTGGGCAGGGCCCAAGAGGTTAAATGTCCCCGTGAAGTCATACGTCGGGGCCAGGGAGGGGTGTTGCTGGGTCAGTAGTACACAGGAGAGACTAACTGCTCCCCGCAAAGCCACAGCCCAGAGGTTGGCCCCTGGCAATCCAGTCATTTGCATCTGGTCGGTCTGCCTCCTCCCGCCAGAGCCCAGTCTCTGCAAGCCCTGGAGGACCCACTCTTCAGGCTCCACCGAGGTCGCTGTGGAGGAGTCCCCCGCCCATCCTGCAGGAGGGCCCAGGGCGCCGCGTCAAAGTTCCCCGGGATGAATCCTTCGGGTCTGGCGTGCCACTGTCCCGTTCCCCCGGTGACCTCCCCAGCTCAGACCAAGCGAGGGCGGGGAACGCGGCAGGGCCAGGGACCGGGTCGGGGCGGAGGCGGGAGGTGGGCAGAGGGACCCCCGGGACCCGGAGCGAGGTCTGGATGCCGGCGGGAGGCGGAGGCCGAGGCTGCGGCCGGGGAGACGTGCCTGAGCGGCGGCGGTGGCGGCGGCGGCTGGCGACGGGAGGGAGGCGGCGGCGAGGGGCGGGAGCGGGAGGGGGCGGGACGGAGCGGGGCTGGAGGTGGGGCCGGCGGCGGCGGCGGGCGGGCGGCTGCAGCTGCCGCCGGCGTCTCGGGGGCTCCAGGCTGCGGGCGGACGCAGCGCCGAGCGATCCACCGCGAAGCCGCGCGAGGCCGCCCCTGCCCGAGCCCCGGCCGCGGCCCGGAGCGAGCGTCGCCACCGCCTCGCGCCGCGGGTCCCCGGCCGCGCCGCCACCGCCAGGCAGGCAGCGGGCGCCCTGCAAGTTGGGAGCGCGCCTCTCCGCCCGGGAAACTTTCCCCCGCGGCCGCCGGCGATTGGCGCGGGGTCCGGCCGCCGCTGCAAGGTAGGCGCGGCCCGCGGGGCGCCCCGTCGCTGCGTCCCCGGGGCCCGGGACACCCGCGCGCGACCCCTGGGAGAGCGTTCCGCCCCGTGGGGTTTGGGGACGGGATGCGAGTCCCACGATCGTCCCGGGGAAGCCCAGGAGCCAAGTTCTACTCCAGCTAGCCTTGGAGGGGGCACGGGAAACGCACCAGCCCCGGTCCCTGTCCGGAGACCGCCCAGGACCGCGAGCTTCGCCCAGGACAGGTGCAGTACCTGGCGGCGACAAGCGCTCCCGGGGGCTGAGTGGGAGCTCCCGAGAGTGGCCAGGGGTGGTGGTGGCAGGTGTGGTTTCAAGGTTCAGGGCTTCGGCCAGGGCTGTGCCCAAAGGAAAGGGGTGCGTCCCGCGCCAGCCTGGAGGAGGACCGGTAGGGACAGAGACCCGGAGGGGGATCCGGCGGGGAAGATGGCTGGACCCGGCCGGGCACTGAGCGCGCGCCGCCTTTGGGGTCCCAGGCGGCCAGGCAGGGCGGGGGCGCCTCGCTCTCTTCCCGCGCCCGCGTTCTTTCCTACGAGGGATGTGCGGCGGGGTTCGGCGGAGGATCGGTGGGTGCTGCGTGGGTCGGAAGCTCGGGCTTCCCGGGGTTAGCGTGGAGGGAATGGCTCGGAGCGCCGCGGGCCACGGCGGTTCGCGCCCGCGCTGGCTCCGGGCTGGAGCGAGGTGAGTGTCCCCGCCAGGGGGCGCACTGCCAGGCCACTCTCCCTCGGAAGGCGAGCGCCCGCGCTACCCGCGCTGAAATCGGGACACGCGGAACCCCAGCCCCACTGCCCGCAGGCTGGGCTCCAGGACGCACGGGCACCCGCCCCAGTGGACCCAGGGAGGGTCCCGAGCCTGAGACTCGCCTGCCGCGGTTATCACTGGACAGATCGGCTGACATGAGGTGATTTTTCTTGGGGGTCTGCAAAGGGTGAGTGAAACATTCACCCCCAGAAAAACAAAAACGAAAGAAACTTTCCGAGAGCAGGGAGCTGGCGTGGAGAGCGTGGCTTGGAACGTTCACTTTTTGAGGTTTCTTGAAGTTTCCAAAACCCAAACTGTGGAATGCGTCCTTTCTGTACAAGTGGCACCTTTTGTTCCTCGGATCTGGCCCCATCTCTAGGTGTGGGCTGGGTGGGGTCTTGGGGTGGCGCCACTCTTATCCATTCTCTCCCTGGGCGCAGTCAACGCGGAGGAGCAGGGCGGGGGAGGGGCCCAGAGAGCCGCTGCCCAGGCCGAGGTGTTGGATTTCTCAGGGGTCAATTTCTCACCCCTTAGGTCTGGGGTCTCCAGGGCACGTTCATCTGGTCATTTCACAAGTACTGGTGAAACCCTGCCCGTCGTCCCTGTTACCTCCCTCAGGACTTCTGTGTGTTGAGTCCGTGTGGCTGTGCCTTGGGAAGTGAGCCAGCTGCGGGCATCTGTGAAAAGTGTCATCTTTGTCCATGTGGGGCTGTTCAACACTGAAGGGACACTGACATCGCTCTCTCAAGTTCCCACCCTCCTCCCTGCACCCCACGAGAATACCCGGAGCAAATCCCACACCTAGCCCAGGCCGCCCGGTGGCCAGAGGAAGTTTTCATCAGATCCTTCCCCCAACATGCACTCTTTGGGTACACCTGTCCCACCCGGTGTCCTGAGAGTCCCCCGCTCTGGAAGGTGATGGACGTGGAGTCCGTTGTAGACTGGACTGTCGGGTTTTTTTGTTGGATGCAACCAAAATGTTCCAGGACAAAGTTGCCTCAAGACCCGTGCGACTTCTATTTTGAATGGAGGAGGGGGAGGAGGAGGAGGAGGAAGAGGAGGAGAGAGGGGAAAGGGTGGGGCAGTCCTTCTCTCTGGCTGCGTCTTTCCGGGAGTCCAAAAAAAAAAAGGAGTTTTCTGTTTTGTTTAGCTTGCTTCTTCTCTTTTACTTGTAGTGACTCTTGTTTTTCTGCGAGGGAAGCCAGCCTGGGGACAGCCCTGCCCTTGGGGCCTGTGGGTGAGCAGGGGCCCCCTGAAGTCTGGCAGCTTCTGTGTCCGGCCTGTCCTCTCCGTCTCCCCACCCCCACACACCTGTCCCAGACCCTGAGGGATGCTGGCCTCCCGTCCCTGTCTTGCTCAGACTCTCAGACAAGCGCCAGTGGCTCTGATTCTGCAGAGTGCTCAGTGGTGGCTGCCCGCTGTCCATGTCCCCCCCTGCTCCCAAATCGGAACGGGCAGGAGATCAATGAAGGCTCCAGGCCCCTTTCTGGAAGTTAATCTGGACCTGGGTGTCGGACGCCTTGGACTGACTTCAGGAAGGACCCCTGCCTTCAAACGCTCCCCCAGGAGGAGCTCCCTGGGTTGGTGAAGGCAGTGTCAGTGGTCACTGCTGGTTGAAGGACAGGGTGCTGGGCAGGGGAAGGTGTGGAGGTGGCATCGAGGCAAGGGATGATGAGGACCTAGGGGAGGGACCGAGGCAGGGAGAGACCACAGGTTTGAAGTCCAAGTCTTCTGATCGCCAGGGTGGCGTTGGGTGGGGGGTGGGGGGCCACTTGCCCTCCTGGCTCTGTTTCCCCAGCCTGTTACCTGAGCGTGGTGGCTGAGAAGATGGTGGCCTTTGCAACTTAAAGTCTCACCTTTTGTGGCGCCTGGCAGGCCTGCTGGGCCCTGTCTTCAGTCCAGCAGAGGGGGCCACCGCTGGCTGGCTGGCCCTGCTCGGCGCAGTCCCGAACACAGCAAAATCTGTGAATCCAGGAGATTTGAAACCCGGCTCCTGTCATTTTTTGGCTTGTGGATAAACTGCTCAGCAGTCGGGGAGTAGGGTAATACCGGGGACCCCTTCCTGCCAGGAGCCCCATGCCACTCCGTCAGCTGCTCTGTCGCCACCCTCCTCTGCATGCCTGTCCAGCCTCGCTCTTCCCTGGCCAGAGTCAGCGTTGGTGGCCGAGTGGCATAATTTAGGGACCCCTCCCTTTCCACAGGGCTGCTCTTCTGGCCTCTTTCATTAGCCATCGAGAAGGAAAATCAGGAACATTTGTTCACGCTCTGCTGGGACGCAGCCGCGGGAGGGGGCTGGGAGCCAGCACGTTGGTCCCACGGAGCACAGGCTGCTTGTGGATCAGGCGTTTCTGCAACTGATGCCGCTGAGCTAAGATGCCAGGCTGGGCTCCTCCTGCCGCCCGGGCTGCCACCCTGGACCCGCATCAGCGCTCCATCTGATGAATGGGGGCCGAGAGCGAGCCACTTTTTAAGAAGAAAACCAGACTGACGGGATGAGACCCCGGGTTTGCACCGGGCAGAGCAGGGCTTTCCTCCGGGTCTTATTATCTTGTGATCCAGCCCTCGCTCCTGTTCACACACCGAGGCTGGGTCCATGAGTGAATTCAACAGCTGGAAAATGAGCACAGACAAGCTCATTGCTGGTGGGTGAGTGTTTCCATCCACGCAACAGAATGGAGTGGAGAGGTTGCTAAGCCAGGAGTTAGGAGAGGCGTGTCCCAGCCTTCAATCTCTCACAGATAGAGCTGTGTGAACTCCACAGAGTCGCCAGCCCTCTCTGAGCCTGTTTCTCCTTTTTCTTTAGAAGAATCATGGCAAGGTGGTTAGACAGCCTGGGCTCAAAGGATGGTGAGTCTTCATATCCGACTGTGACCTTAGGCCCTTCCACCTCTGGTGCCTCAGTTTCCTGACCTAGTAAAAATGGAGCCAGTATACCACATCAGACTGTTGTGACCTGTCAATGAGATAGAACGTGTCAGATGCCCAGAACATAGTAAATGCTCAATAAATGCTCATCATCATCGCTGTCAGCATTACTGTTATTTTTAAATGACACAGTAATATTGGAAGAATCAACTTGGATCCTTTGCAATAATCCTGGCCACAGATTTGTGGGTGTGCAAAACATTTGCTCATGGGGTAGAAGACAAGGGCAAATAGTTCTTTTTTCCCTGCCTCCTTGAGGGACTCTTCTGAGTCTTATAATTGTCCTTCTGGTGGCCCCACCCCTGTGGCAGGAAGCCCAACTTGACGTCACTGAAATATCCGGATTTCTGGCACTTGAGGGAAGCTCTCGGCTCGGCCACATTGCGTCCCTCCCCTCCACCCTCTCTTTCCCGTCCCTAACTGCCGAGCAAAGACCATATGTGCAGATAATAAGTTTAAGCTGATCAACAGCGCCCAGGTCCTCCCAACCCAAGGCCACCTTCCTAGAAGCCACTTTCCACTTTCAAATAAATAATCCGCGCTCTGTCCTTTGCTTCGTGTCTGGCTGGCCCGCCTGTCTGCCTCTGCCCCTGGTTGGCTGGGTGACCTGGGCTGGGCCCGGTCTGTGATCTAAGGCTTCGGGGTCATGAGCGCCCAGGCTGCCCCTCCCTCCTCCTCTCCCTCCGGGCAGTTGGCCGCTCTGAATCAGTCCAGCCAGGGTCTTCACGGGGACAAACACTATGGGACAGGAGCTGAACCCTGCTTCGTAGGATGGGCAGATACAGCCCCTGCCATATCCCTGGCCCATCTCTTTCTCTGACCTATCAGCGAAGTCACTTCAAGTCTTGCGCCCAAGGTCCTGTGAGCCCAGGCCCCGGGAGGGAGCGCTGAGGTCTTGGGTGGCTCCTCCCCCTGCTTCTGATTACTGTCCAGGCTCAGGGCACCTTCTGAGAGTCTGTCTTTTTTTTCTGCATACGGTCCTTTGCCATCTTGGGGACAGGGAAGGCTAAGAGTTTTGGGGTCCTGGCTGCTCACAGGCACGGAGTAATCCCAAGAAAAAATCAAAGTTGCACCCGGGCGCGGGGCCGGGGTCCTGCGGTGTGGCCTTGGGCTCCTCATCCCTCAAATCAGAGTAACAACAACATGGGAAGCGAAGTCACCCGAGCTGCCGGAGCCAGGCCCCAGGTCTCAGGGGCCTGATGCAGCGCGTGACCTCATTGATGGTGTCACTGGGCCAGCTCCCCGCAGTTGCTCCAGGAGCCGGGCTGAGGGCGACTCTGCCATCTTTGTGGGGGCACCTGTGGCATCAGAGTGAGTGC